CAGCAGCAGTTGTCAGGATAAAGCAATTCTGAGGATGTTTTCAACACCTGCTCGCTGTTCTGCAAGTGATTCTTAGCAGCTAGGAAAATGAAAAGTGTTTTAATTAAAAGCAAAACGACTTTGAAAACTCAGTACACTTTTCCAAACTGTTCAAAAGCTTGAACAATAATGAAAAAGTAGCCCCCACAGCTGCAGTGTGGTCCTGATATTCACACCCATCACCATGCACCTGCCATTACACCACACACAGCAAAATCACTCTTCCCTGAAAAATACTCAACTAGTAGTCAGAAATAGCCTATGATATTATTATTATATTATACTATATTATATTACCTTTTTTTTCCTTCTAGGAAAAGGAAAAATGACTGTCCTGCAAGCTCAGTTTGCACCAGCCTGGGATACACTAGTGTTTAACCAGCCGGCCCAGCCAGCAGGATGGGTAGGTCACACATCCACCAAGCTTTGATCTATGATAGAAAAAGCTATCGACCCTGGAGGAAGGAGGCTATTCCTTATATTTCACACCAACCACATGCAGGAATAGTATGCATTAGTATGCATCTGATTTTCCAGATGATTTACTGCACCGTGATGGAGTTCTTCAGATTTATCCTAAAGTTCCATATTAAAATTCCTGCAATAGTGATTTTTTTCCCATGTCAGCCAAGAACTGCTTCATCAGCGACATCTATGGCAAGGAAGGGTGACATCCACTGGTCTAATAATGGTCTCAAGAGATTTGGGGTTTTTTTGCAAGTGCATAACCTTGTTTCTTATTCCAAAGTTGAATCACCCCCCAAATTCTCTATCTTTTCTTCCCAGAAAAGCCCCATTTCTCTGAATATGAAATTCAGAGAAAACCAAGCCAGGACAAAGACAGATGTATTTATCATGCACAGATGATGTAGGAAGGAGACAAAAAATATTGTCATCGATGCCTTACTAACTGCAAAATAAGGGAACAGTAATTAATCAGCAGGAGTACACACTGAGAGGAAATATTGATTGAATTGGGAGAAACTTTGGGTTTCTGAGGGAAGAGATCCTCTGCAAAGGTAACCAGCAAGGGTTCTGCAAATGAGGCTGGCAGCCGGCCAGGCTGCAGCCCATCTGGGTGTCATTTCAGGCAATCCAGCAAAATGCAGAGCAAATGCACCTTGGTTTCTACAAAGTAATTTAAATACATTAGTAAATCAATGTCATTGGCAGTTTGATGGGCTATGATGGAAGAGTTCTCCTCTGAAATACCATCTATAAAACCTGCAAAGCTCTGGCAGCYGACTTGCTATGGCTTTAGCATATATCTTCCTTCCTCCATCTTTCCAACAACTGCTTGGGTTTTTTTTATTTCAGCTTCAATTTCTGCCCAGCTGCACAGACCACCCCCTCAGGCCTCACTACTGTCCCAGCAGCACAAGGAGAGGGAATTCTTGGTACATCATGGAGCAGCGGGAGGTGATGACCATGATAATCTAGTTGAGAACACGGGAGATTACAGAGATTACAAACCTGATATTCACATTGCCCTTAGAAGCAAAAATTAAGCTTTCCTATTTCATTTTTCAGATCATCTATCAAAAACCTTTTTAGGGTAAAAAGAAGAAGTCCGAGAGAAGACCTGCTCCTTGAGCTTGACAATTTAATAGTGCTTCTACTCCACAGAAAGTTTTACTGTTGCCAAACAACATCTTATCTATGCAAAAAGGAATTCAACAGGAAATACTAAAATATTTTCAGCATGCTGTTTATTTTTATCTAGAGGAAGATAAATTATAGGCAAGTAGTAAAAACACAGTCCCCAGAAAAAAAAAAATAGGGCTTTTTCCCACCATCACCTCACCCTCCTTTCCCACCACTCATCTTTCCAAAACAATTAGCCTTATTTTGGGAGAGTCCACACAGACTTCTGCAGTATTATTCCCTTCAGTTCCAGCTCCTTTGCTGTCGGGTCCAGCCACTTCTCTACCCTCTTGTCTGCCTTCCCTGCTACACACAAGGGCCTTCCCTGCTACCCACAAGGGCTGTGTGACTATAGCTCGGCTCCTTGTGTCAAGGATAAGTCCCAAAGTCTGACATAATCCCTCCTGACCCACCCAGCTCTGAGTTCAGAGAGTTYTTCCCTGCCTCCTGCCCCGCTGGCGAGGGAAGAGCTCATCCTGCTTGCTGTGAGAGGCAGCAATGGAGAGGAGTGCTCAGGATTCGTGTCCATCCATCCAAACACGAGCATTCAGCAACCATGACTCAAAATCCCCTCCCAAATCACAGGATTAAATTAACACATCATGGGATTTCCAATATTATAGAACACTATACGCTTCRTCTTATTCATGGCTTTTTAACTGCTCAATATGCAAATACTTTTGAACTTTTTTTCCCTCAGCAGTTACAAGAGCCACGTGGGGGAGAAGAAGTTATCACATATTCATATGACTTGGAGGCTGGACCTTTAAAAGTAAACTGAATATTACAATTCATCACATGTAAATTTATGGGAGTTGGCAGCAATGCAAATGTCTCAAGGGATGGTGGAAGAGGAGAGTGTTCTTGGTTAACCGTTCTCTCCCCCCCCCTTTTTTTTTTTTTTGTGATACGGCATACTGAAAGTGCCCTGCTAAATATTTCCTATGTAAGCCCATTGATTAATTTAGAGTGTTATAGAAACATGCAGCACGCTGTGCTTATCAACGCCCAGTCACTAAATATTTTGACGTTTGTTAACAAAAACTAGATGCATTCTGGAAAACGACAAACTGGAAAATGAAATTACAGTTTTTGAATTCCTGTCCTTTCCAAGTCTGCTGCCTAGAGCAAATCAGGTTTAACCAAAAACACAAGAGAACCTGTTTTGGGGTAAATGCTCTTTTTTTGTTTGTTAGGTTAAGAGAATTGAATGGAAAAAAAAACKTACACTATACTGCTGTTTTTCCAAAATACAAACTTATTTGTAATCAGTTTCACAGATGAGAAGAAGACGAATGGGAAGATCAGAACTCTGCACTTTTCCTTGATTTTAAAATCAATGATCACACACAGAATCACACAGAATGGTTAAGTTTGGAAGGGACCTCTAGAGATCATCCAAGTCCAACCTTCCTGCTCAAGCAGGGACACCTAGAAGATGAAAAATTGCAATTCCTGCTACCTCAAATGGACACGTTGCCTTCAAAAGGAGGCCGGTGCTGTGTCCGGCCCGCACCAAGAAGCTTCCCGTTTGCAAGTGCGGCTGTTAAGATCACGGTTTAACGCCACGGTGCTGCCCAGTGCCTAGTCTAAACAGGTGGCACTGGAGTGCGCGGGTGGCAAGGCCTCGAGGGTGGCGGCCATGTCCTGACGGCGGCGGCCATGTCTCGAGGGTGGCAGCGATGTCCTGAGGGCGGCGGCCATGTCTCGAGGGCGGTGGCCATGTCGCGTGGCCGCCTCTGCGCAGGCCCGGCCCCGCTCCATGGCGGCCACAACGGCGCACACAGCTCTGCTTCTCGCAGGGGGCCGAGATGTCGCCGTCTCAGCTTCCTGCAGCAGGTACCATGTGTAATAACTGGAGTTGGCCTAAAATTGATGTTTTTGCTGTGTGCCACACTCCTACTCCCGAGTAATGTTTACCAACTGAAAACAAAAATACTGCCATAAGGTGTGAATCTAATTAAGTCTCTTTTGTTTCAAAGGAAACACAGCGGCTGATACTTTCCAGCAGTGCAACAATTTTACAGATAGCTCCTAAGGAAGCACCTTCCATCATATCATTCCGGGAACAAGGAGGTTGATCCCGTGTCCCTCAGACTCCTCTCTCCTTCCAGCGCTGCCCCAGGACGTCTCTAAAACCAGCCAAAATAGCCCAGCTCACATAACTCATGGGTCCTAACTGACCGCCCAACCAGACGGGTGTTATTGTCTGCTTCCTTGTTCCGCTCCTTTCCAACTAAAGCATTGCGAAATTTAGGTTATTAAATTGGCCATAATTTTGCTGCCTAATCCCTGTGACTGCGTTCTTCCAACTGGTTTCTGGGGACTACTTCTGCAAGATAAAGAGTAGGGTTTTTATAAGAGGTGTCATAACATTATCTGCTGAAAATTATGGTGACATATTAGAGGGATGAGAATCGCTGGAAAGATTTCTGCAGAGAATAGCCTAACACTCTGCATTATACTTAATAACACAGCCTACTGCTGTGAGATAACACTCAGGTGTTTGTTCGCCCTCCAACTATTAGTAGCAAACGTCTCTGCAGTTTGGTACATGCATGGGGGATCAAAGTGCAACCATTTTTGGTTTCCTTTCAAATGAGCCAGTTAATCTCTATGCTAGCGTAAGCTGTCAGAACATCCATAACCCAGTCTGCACCACTTATGAGTTCAGCTAAAAACAACCCACATCAGAGGGGTGAGCACAGAAATAGAGAACATTACACAGAAAGGCTGTTACGTTTAGCTCGTGTTTTCCATCACTGACTACTGCACATTAGGTCAAATTCCATGTTTGGAAAGCCACAACTGAGTCAAGAGGAGGTTTTTGTCCACATCTGAGCAACTATTCTCCAGTGCGATGAAAACCATGCCAGTGAAGACAAGGATGTCTAAAAACTCATGCACCACATCAGCCTCTGCGCTCTGGTCGCAGCCTTCCAGCTCAGCTACCTGTCCCTGGTGGTCACAACTACTCAGGCGCTGCTCCTCCATCTATGCTCCTCTTCCCTGCTTGGACATGAGGTCCAGTTTGGAGACACCAGCTTATGCTGACCCTCATAAGAACGTTCATAAGAACGTCAGTTCTTATATGTACATTTAAGGCAGGGACAGTTTTGGCATCCTGAAGAGTGTTTTGGCAATGGTTATTTATCCCAGCTAAAATGCTCAACTCCTCTCCTACCTTTCCATGCACAGAGGGGAGAAGAACCAATTTCCATTCTCAAGGACAAAGAGGCCAGGGAGAGCAAATCACCCTGGCTCCATGCCTTTGGCTACACCTCATACATCAGCTGGCATTAACATCCCCACCTTACCTTTATACTGGATATCTGCACTCTCCATAGGAAACTGCTTCTTGGCAGCTGCTCTGCGATAGACCACATGTGTCCTGCCTCCTCCCTCCTCCTCCTCCTGGGTCCCCTTCTCCAGAGGTTCGATGAAGAATTCGTCCTTGTCCGTGCGAATCATGCCAGCCTGGAGCGATAGGGCAGAGAGGGAACATTTGGAGTTAGGGCACATCCAGCAGACACTGTGAGTAAACAGTTACAATATGCTTAAGCACACTTTAGTGCTCTCTGGAGAGCAATTAGGATGCAGGCAGGAAACCAGGTGAATTCTTGATTACAGCAAAACGAAGCATCATTTCCCSAACTTGACAAGGACAGACAAAGCACCAGCCCTGAACCAGAGGGAAGCTCCGAGAGCCACGTGAGCAGGGAGAGGTCTAATGCTGTCTAGGAAACGCTATCTCAATTAGATCCCAACTACAATGACACAGTTCATGCAACCATAGCTACTTGTCAGCCACAGACTCACTCTGCTGCAGAAAGGATCAGTGCAGCACCACAAGCTGMTCCTGGTATGCAGTTGTGCACACCAAGAACACAGAGTCAGCCCTTCTGTTTTGAGGTGAGATGGAAAAGCACCGTCTCACACACAGGCAAGAGACTTTGCCATCATCCTGCCCTTGGCACAGAGGGCTGTCCTAACAAAATATTCTTTCAACATGGTAAAACTGGTTGAAAAAAGGGTGTCAGCAATGCATTCTCCAGGGGCAGAAATTTAAGAAGTGAGACTGGAACAAACATCCTGGTATAAGAAACCTGTGAAATTCGCACTTCTACTGARCATCCCAACTGAATGTCATCCCAACGCTTCTCACTTACCATAACAGGAAAATCGTCATCGAGCAAGAAAATCTGAGCAAGTCTTTTCACCCTTTYCATGCAGCTGAAACAAACTGGGTGCTTGGATCTGCTGTGCTTGTCTCTTGTCTACTTGGAGAAGGAAGTTTGCAGTAGCCAGCAGTTGGCTTGCAGAAACAGTTGGCTTGCCTCAGGTTTTTGGAGTGTGTGTGCACATCTGTGTTTAAGAACTTAAGCTGATGAACTCATATCTTGTGAACAGAAAGTCTTAACATTAACATGGAAGAAACTGTTAAAAGTACAAAGGAGAGAAGCCCGAAATGTAACTCTTAGAAGCTCCTTCATCACTTTCTTCCGTAGTATGATGACACCAGAGCTCCTGGCCTTCATGATGGGGCCAGGGAGACCATGCTCCATAGGGTGCCATGTGCTTCTGCTTGGTATGAGCTTCTAAGGATCCAAATCTGCTCCGTGCTGAAGCCATGCCTTGAGCTTCCAAGTGACTTAGCTACTTGGAACCCTGTGTCCCCCCTGAAACAAATATTATCTACACTGTCTTGTGATATCTCAGTACTCAAGTTCTCATACGAGGCATATTTTTCTTCTACAGGCAGAAAACTGCATTTCTACTGCTATAAATACAGTATGTACTCTGGTTCCTTCCTTGGAAAAATGTCGGGTTCATTTGTCATGTCTTAACTTACATTAGACAAGATTTCCCATCCAAATTTCATATATATAATGTATACAAAAACAGATTGAAGAGGAAGGATTAAAGAAGCAAAATTATATCCAAGCAGTTTAAAGTGCCTGTAGAGAGAGGAAACTGTATTTGAAATCTTGTCCTGATTCTTCGTATCTAATTTAGATTCTACATCAGACACAAAGGCGAGACAGGCTCAGCAGCTCTAGGAAACTCAGACAACCAAGAAAATAAGTGCTGAAACAGAGAGAAAACAACTGATTTCTACTGTAAAATGAATACATAAAAATTCTGGAATTAATGTCATTCTCCTTTTAATAAACATTTTGGTTGTATAGCCACACTCACGTCTTGTCTGGATATTAGATRGTGTACCAAGGAAGACAGAAATGCACACCCAAAGATGGAGAAGTTGCAAGCACTGCACGCCCAACCTCAGCAATACTGAAGGCTGAATACAGAGAGAAGCTGACTGACATATGAAGCAGACGTGATTTCCTTTCTGCAGGGTAAGTTACGTGACTGCACCCAGGCTCAATGTATTCCTGGATTGCTTAAACCTGCTGGTTACTGAGTGACGAGCAGTGGTCCTTCACTGCTCCCGCACTCCTAGCGGGCATCCCATTCCACGGCGGGAAAGGCGGCTGAGCTTCCGTATGCAGCGAGCTGCAGCTTAAGGAATTGAAAYCTTCTAAGAAAATTAACAGATGGACAAGGTTCACAAGCATTAGCCGAACCCATTCAGACAGAGGGACGATCTTTGTAAGTGAGTGCTGGCTTGCAGGGCTTGGTGGTCTTTTGGAAACGAAATGTGTTCAGACAGGAGACGTCGCCTGAGAAACAAAGACCCGCCGGACGGGCTGGCGGCCGAGCAGAGGAGCCCCCCGAATGCCTCTGCCACGGGGCACAAGACCAGCAGTCAAATCCTGACATTTCTTGCAGAYCACTGTGCCCCGGGCTGGCCCTTTTTGTATAGGGGCGATCCAGGCAGTGCATTTTATCATAAATTATGTTAACTCTCCTCCGCAGACACCTGCTAATGGCAACACCACAACCACGATGAAGCCCCTTCCCACTATCTATGATAAAACATAGACCCCCCAGATGCTGCCAAATAACAGGCCACCCATCACGTGCACAACTCCATACAACCCCATGAGCGAGTCTTCCAGAAAGGAAGAAAACTAACCTTCAAACATGGCTGAATATTTCCTTTTTCATTTTAATCTGGACTGTGACAGAAGGAGACATAACTGTGTCACCTTATGCTGGAATTTCTCTTTTCCATTAGTCCCCAGCAGCACATTAATTATTTTTTGTCAGAAATATTAGGAAAGAATGAGTGTGCCCTTGAACTGTAAAAGAATGATATATTTTTATATATTCTATATCCTGCATAGTTTTTTAATTAGTGAACATATTCTCAAGTCCTGAACCAAACCATATTTTCTCGTTTTATTTCAGTTTAAGACTTCGAGAAGAAAATTCATTTAGACTGCAAAGCAGAGTTTCTACAGAAATTCACAGTTCAAGCCATCTGCCTAATAATATACTCCTAGCTATAAAAGATTCATTAAAAAATACGTGGGGCTCCTGGCTGTCTCCACCACACACTTCCTCACTGCTTAGAGCAAGACGTTTAACCTCTCTGCTTCCATCTCTCCACCTGTGGCTTCCATCTCTCCACCTGTGACTAGGCATAACTACAGCCTTCTGGGAGACTTGTGAGGGCGGATTTATTTTTCTGCCAAGCACTTTGGGCTTGAAAAGCTCAGTCTCAAATGCCAAGTGTTGGGTTTTTTTCTCCTGATAATGCTCCAAGCACCCCAAAAAGCCTCACCATTAGCAGGAGGTTTCAGCAACCAGCTCAACGAGCAGGCCGTCATGCCAAGACCATGACTGATAGACAACCTCCAAGTCTACAAGACAACAGACAACATTAAGTTTGCTGCAGTCTCCAGGAGAATACCTCTAGACATGCAAAACAGAAATGCCATGTTGTTTGAGCCAAGTTGTGCTTTCTTTTCCACAAAGGTTAGACTCGAAAGACTTTCCTGGGACATCCTTTGGATAGAGGGATCTGTGGATCTCCAGGGGACAGAAGAGCAGAACTAAGCCCTTTGATTAGCAAGCTCAAAGCTTCTAGCAGCAGCGGTTCTGTGCCCTGGAGCATGGAGCCCACGCCGGGACTGCTGCATCCACAGGAGTTAGGGTCAAGCCATGGCCAGCACCCTCTGCCACTGCCTGTGTGCTGGGCGACCCGRGACTACTTAGTCACGGAAAGCATTGAATTCCAGAAAAAATGCTGAGCTRCCTATTAGCTCTTCCTTGCCCTCCTGGGAGTTTTCAGCTGAAACTARAAGGAATATAGGAATATCACTAAATAATGACATCGGCAGCAACCGTGTCGCGAGACGAATGAAAASACGAATTAATTGAAAATGTGTTTGCCTTTGGAACTCGCAAACTGTAGCAAAGAGTCTATAATCTCCCCATTTCCCCAGGCAGGACACCCCCAGGCCTTCCTTCCAAAGGTTTCGAGATCCCAACTGCAAATTACTCAAGTCAAGCACTGCTTAGCACTCATTAATATGCATTAAAGAGGAGAGCAGGAGATGACACTTAATCAAAAGGAAACTGCAGTTCAGAGAATCAAACTCTCTGCTAAGGTTAGCAAGTCAGTTAGTTAGGAGTGAAAGTCTCAGAGGAAGAATTTCACAAGGATGACGGAGAGCGACTGTCCTGCCTAATTAAGAAGAGAACTACATTGATAAGCCACAGCGAGTCCATGCATACACACAGAGCTTAGGTTTCGAGCTCTGCTAATTTTGGTTTTGGGGTTGGGAGATTTATAGGGCTGCTGTGCRTCCCTGGAGACCTGCCTGGCTTCCAGGGAGCACAAGATCAGCACTGACCACACAGACTATTCCTCCCCATACTCTTCTCTGCTCCCCATCCATCCCCAGGGCACCCTCCCTTGCCCCACAGCCAGGCCACCTTCGCAGCAGGAAGACCTCGAAGTAAATAGACACCCCACATCTACCTGCATGACAAAATGTAGTGAGCAGGGTACAACAAATCACATCCTTCTCCTTCTATTTTTATGTTACAAAAACAGCAGCATGTCTGTAGTCTTGGAAATTCATCTTGGATTTTCCAGAGTCAATGGATTTGGGGCTAATTTCATTGCAGCTTTGTAGAAAAATTACAATTTCAAAACTCTGAACATGACGTGTCTTTGTCTAAGGGAGCGTAGACAAGAGAAAACGGATCAAGGCTGGAGCAGTGACTATGCTGCAATTTAGCAGAGACAACACAATTATAAACTGCCATTTATAATTGTGGGGAATTCCTTGGATGCTACAACGAGAGGTCTATAAGGAGACAGGACAAGCACTGAGCTCCTTGTGGAGATGTCCTCACTATCACTCTGCCTTTAGGAGACAAGGCCCCTCTGTCATCACGTCACCATCCCCACCTTGGGCAGAAGGCCCAAAGCCAAGGCAGGAGGGGCATCCACCAAGGTGACGTCCTGGCCACCCTGGGGACAGAGGCAGCAGTTTGGCACCGCCTGGAGAGCCCAGCTGAAAACCAGCTCTTCTTCCCCAGTGTCCTCCGCGCCCCCA